ATTCAAATCCTTTCTGTTACTTTTAATACGCGCCACGTGTGGATGACTGACCGATTAATTGTCATCATCGTATTGATTAATCATCGCTATTCGTAATGGATTTAACGACCGATAACGCAGTCGGCAGTTTGTCATTAGCTCGCGCTACGACCACGTACGATGTGTATTCAAACGGCATTCACAAACATGGACGTCCGATAGCATTTCCATTACGACGCGACGTCCACAAATACTCGGAAATATCGGCGAGATATTTAAATACCAACGTGCCACCGACACTCCCGAATTAACCATATTAAATATAACTATGCATGAAAGAGGGAAACGTCAACATCCTTTGTAAAGCGAAGAAAATTTCTTTACCGCAAAATGTGTCTCCAATTTTTTATATAAAAAAATTGCATTCTTTATACACATAGTTCAATGTAAAAATAATACAAAAAGTTCTCATTAGTTTCTTGTAATATATTTGTAATAGAAGATATATTTTTATAATTTTACCAATAATATTATTAATGTTATCATATAGTATTAATGAAACATTATATTTATACGTGTCATATACATTTGACACATTTTATAAAAATATGAATAAACGAAATATCGTCTCTTACATAATGAGTAATAAAAAGTGTAAATTATATAACTTTCGAAAGAGATATAAATATCAAAAACTTTATAAAATTAAAAGCTACATCCTGTGTTTTTTTCTGGCTTGTTGTATAAAATAAAATAAAAAAACAGGATAAAAAAAAAAGAATTTGGACGTGGCTCAAACTATTCATTGCGCTTTTTCACGACTCGACGAAACGAGCATCAACTATGCAGTCAAATTTGTGAATAGTGAAATTTTCGGTTTGAGGGAAATTTTTGATTTGAGGTTTTCTCTTATGCAATTCGGATATCCCTTTGTGAATGCGTACAACATAGGTCTGTTAAGTTACGTAAAAGGAAAGAAGAAAATGTGTAAATCTGTAAATTTTTGAACTACTCGCTTTACTGTACGAATGTAACTAATGACCATAAGTATGAATTTTCCAACGATTTTCATTCTAGATATATTTTCTCTTTGATTTTTTTTTTTACAAATAAGAAATGTATCGAGAATACGAATACGCGCTAAAAGATATTGCATCTCAATCAAAAATTTTAATTAAACCCAATGACATATATTGTTTTAATTAAGAATATTGGATTCAGTCAATTAATATAAATATTATTTTATTTATTGTATAATTAATTATTAATTACTTAATTTTGATAAGTTAAGCCTTTTATTTAATTATTAGATATCATTTTACTTGTTTTTAAATGGAAAAATAACAAATTAATATATATCAAGATTACTTAAATTATTAATTAACGAATTATATTACAGTTATTAATATGATATTAAAAAATGCATTCTATAAAGCAATATTTTCTGAGAATTTCAAATAACATCGCGTTGACTACGTTCATTAAAATTTACACGCAACTCATTTACACATATTCTCATTCAACACGCACATATCCTTATTTGCGTGCTGTTTTTAAAATGGACGTAATTTAAAATACACAATTTTAAACGCGCTACGCTCTTGCCGCACCCTCATTATTAACCGCGACATTTATGGCAGTCACGGAATTCCTATGCTATTCTGAAAATCAATGACCACAGTGTTGTTTTGGTTCCCTTGATATCGTATCTGCGTATAGATATATCACGAAGTTATCAGTTCCCTGTAGAATCCACCTCAATCTCTCACATTTGCAACACCATTTCCGGCAGCGAAAACAAAACGCGTCGCATCGTGCTGGACCAAACGACGCGATTCACTCGTAACTTTTGCGATAAATCAACAACAGAGATGCGTAAACAATTTCTATCATTTACCCGTGTGGAGAGATCAATCATAGAGTGATGGCGGCCCGCGATTTAATTATTTGGCATGGTCGTTGACCGATCGAAAGATTACAAAAGAGGACCGCAAACCTGTAATACTCTATTATGATACTATAATAGTCTCTCTCACAAATAGCCATAATTATTCAATCTGAATTTTTCATAAATTACTCTTTTATCTGTTGCAGTTTTATTCAATTGTGATATTTATAAAATTTGAATATATTTATATATATTTTATATCTTTTTTTAAAAAAATATCATATTAAAAATATGAAATAATCACAGAAAGTAGAGAGAAAATTTCTTATGTTCCCGATTGGTGCGTAAAAAATTCATAGATTAAACAATATTCAACAATTGATAAAACTGAAATGGTTGTGTTCGCGAAAACGCGCGAATAAATACGACGAGATATGGATCTTTCGCATCGGTCAATGGGCAAAACTGTTGGCCTTGCGAGGCAATCGTTTGGGATATACATATAAAAGCGTGGCGTGATTCTGCATTTTAAATTATGCCCCGGCTTTTTCCGTTGCCTTTCAACGGCGGCAGCTGCTCCGATCCAGCTGCCAATAGCACGGACGTTATGAATCCGGACAATTTGCCGCGTTTATCCCTTTAAATATGGACGCGCGATCCCGTTGATCCACTTGTCGTCCATGATACTAAGCTTTTTTCATAGCCGCGGGTATTTTTATGCAGATTCGTCGAAAAAAGAAAACGACGATACAACAATCGCGCAAGCAATAATCTCCGATCACCATCGCTGATTGTTGGTGGCATTCGATATCAAAACTAATTTGTTCTTTTATCGCGATGTATGACTTCCATAAATTATTTAATTCTATAAAATTCTTTATCTATTAATAAAATATAATAAATGTTTAATAAATTATTATTTATTATATTATAAATTA